GATAACACGAACAAGTTGTGAAAACTAAGTCAGATCACTTCTATACATCAAACGAAGGCTGCGACTAAAAATGAGGCTACAACAACTTGGTCAACTTGAGCGACAAGAGAGTGTGCTTAATGGGATTCAAATATGGAAAAAAGAAGCGATGCACTTGTACTCTCGCTATTCCGAATTAAGCTGGATAAAGACCCCAATGAATGAAATGCAATGTGAGTAGGAATGAGAAAGAGGATAACTGGGTAATGAGGCTGAGGCCTAGAGAGATGAAGATCCTGACATAGGCATAACCGGCTCTAAATCCTCAAATATGATGTATACGAGGAGGTGAACTCATGGTCATGGGCAGCCAGATTTCATACAGCCAGAAAAGGATTTTAACTTGTAACAGTGGCCAATTGGAAAGCGGGACGGTAGAAGAGGGGCTGAATGAAGATCAGAAGCCCTGCAACCGGTATCTGGAGCCGGTGGTACGCATGATTATGCCTCATTAAATACCCCTCAAGGACACATTCTTAGGCGACATTAGAAAAATCGAGAGCACTGAATTATATAAATGGGGAAATGGATCATATGAAGTGAGAATGATAGAAAGAGATGCAGCACCAGAAGGTAGGACAAAAAATAGAGACGAGGAGTGATGCCACAACGGTCGAACAGAAAATCTAACTCGTCATTTTGACAAGTAGTAACTCTGTACTAACTATGACGCCTCTCATTAAAGATACCGACCATGACGCCAGAGAAACATTTAGGGATGTACAAAGTCGATGGTCCGATATTTGAAATCACGAATACTATGTTAGAGGACGATGAATAATTACGTTCCACAAGCTCTCCTTGATGCCTTGATCAAGTTGCGAATTCTAGGTCAAACTGACACTATAAAACCAAAGAAGATTCCGCCCGAACATAAGGTCATACTATCTTGGTCTTCGTTTCTACGATAAAAACTTTTAATCCGGGATAGAACCGTAGGTTGATAATTCGGAAAGAGGGTATAGAGTTACAGCAAATTTTTGGCATATATTTGGCAAAGGTTTGTACCTTTCGACTTTTATCTTAATGCTCAGACTCGCAGAGCTACCTGAGTGAGTTGGTTAAGAAGCAGACGAAAAAAAGATATTCTTGCACTATCTAAGTCTATTTTAAAAGCTCCTTATTTGCTTTCCTGCCATTCAAAGTATTCATATTGGCTTGTTATTTAAAGTATCGCAGAAAAACATACGCCTACTATCGTACCTAACGTGGAAAAAGCCATTTTATTCAAAATAACAAACTTTTAAGGATAACTTAAATTTATGCTAACGACGGTTGATTTCCGTTTTTAGGTTTTTGTTTTATTTGACTACTAGGTTTAGGTTAACACAATCGTCTAGAAATCCTCCATTGTTTCAAGTAAAAAATGGTCAATGCTTTTGCTCTTGACATAATGGACATCGAAAGAGCTAGAACTCTTTCTTACAAAAACTTTAAGCTAACACAAAGACACGAATACGTGAAGCTGCTTCACGTTAACAATATCCGCGAGGATATTTATCGCGGATTGCGTCAATCGACAGCAGAACAAAGTGAATAAGCTGAAATTGAATGACAAATCTCTTAAGCAACCACTTTCAAAAAGAAGGCGACTCAATTTGTCTGCTCAGTGATAGTTCTAATTTCACTTAAATTCGCCCAAAATGTTAGATTAAGCTATTCAAACAAACCAGAGATGTCAGATTAAGCAACCCCAGTCTTGCCTTTCCTTGGAGAGTTGAACGTTAATGACCCTTGAAGGAAAGGTTAGGACAAATGGTTTCGTAACTTGATTATCATGCATACAAACTCATATTTCATTATCTCAACCATACTTACCTACGGACCTAGGCAGTCTCATTCAAATATACTCTCTTGGGTTATTATGTCTTAAAGATCAGAACAGGAGATTTAACCTTTGACAACTCTGTTATAGGAACCGTATTGCATATAGACGCTAACACACACTAATATACATACTCATATAATCGAGCAAAAATAACAGAACCAGTATGAATGAAAATTAACCAAACCACTTTATATCGATCTATCTAGGTTTTTAATTTTTAATCTTTTGAGTTAATTGAGTCTATATAAGAAGTAAGATAGAGCCGGATAGTGTTCTTGCTTTAGTGTTAACGTGAGACTTTACAAGAATGACACCCAGCTCTGATGATGTCTATCATATGATGGACGAAAGCTCAGCACGTTTTCACCCAAAACGAGGGAGGAAGTCCCGTAGACTGCGTCAACATGAATATCGTATAAAAGCCAACCGGCTGCAGTACAACGAGTTTCATCCGTCCTCATCTAGTGAGATCGACCAACGAATCTCTTCTTCATGCACTTTCATTCGAAATGAAGGTCCCCCTAATAATGTTATCTCAAAATATTTTTCGAAACGAAGTTTCTTATCGTATCTACAACGATATTAGTTAAGGAAATTCATCAAAACTTAGTCAATCTTCATATAAACCAGATCTTATAATGTTTAGGAGCTATGGATCTAGTTATTATTATTTGTAAAAGTATCTTATACGTAAACTCCTCTGTAAAATGTTGTTCCTATCATTAAGAGTGCTGAATTGATAAATTATCTTCTGCAAACGGTATACTCTTGCCAGAATCTTCGTGGGACTTTTTATTAAAAGAGGGGAAAATATATATTTAGATACTCTCAGAGGCAAGCTAGCAAATAATTAAGAGGAAACAAATTGGCGCATAAAACATGCCACCTGAAATATAACTGCAGATAGAAAATAATGATACTTTTAATGTCCTTTTCATGTTTAATTCATGAGCTATTAGCAAACTAAGTAGAAAAAAGCTGTACATATGGTTAGTATATCTTTCGACATTCTACACCTCAGCCAAACTGATATTTAGGTGGTGCTGTCATTCTGGTAGTAAGATTATGGTTTTAAAATAACCGGGTTTTACTCTTCACGTTTATCATAAATTCATATGATTTACTAATGAGGCAGGAAATATATTAGGATTTAGATGCCCGGGTTGCATTTCTAGGCATGAAAATAGTTTATTTGCTGTACACTTGTGTAAAAAATGTAAAACAATTTCTTCATTTATATGGTATGATATAACAGTCCTTTTTCTTTGTGTCAAAAACTTATATATTCAAAATACACATAAACCCTAAACTAAATTACACATCATTTATAGTTTACTTTTTTGTTACTATCAACGTAAAGAAAATTCGAAGCAAAACATTTAATTTAATATTCTTAACTTGACTTGAATATTGAGATCTTGTTTGTTAGGTTAATAACGCCAGCGGGTCTTTTAGCATGGCTTGGCATGGTCACTCAGATAATTTTTCCAACATTATAAGGGAGCATGATATTGTAATTTTGAAGAAAGACCATGTATTTTGTATTAGTAAAATTACAACAACAAGGTATTATAATGCAATATTTTGCTATCTATGCCCTTGTATTTTTCATGTTTATTTAATTTACTTGAATTTATTTATTTTGTCGTTTTTTTCTTCATTCTGATTGAAAGTGTGTAAGGCAAATATTCTAAGACAATTTTTACTGCAGGATGACATCGAATTTTATTTTTGGGTGTGGACTGGCTTCGCTGAAGCAACTTATTTGACTGTCCCTGAAACATTCTCCTTTGATTCTTGATAAAGTTTACTAAGATTTTATATCCAGACTTATAAAATTTAATGCTATGGTTAATTCAAGACATATGTCGATTTGCAGCATGTGTATCTTTGTGTTTGCTTACATTGATATATTCCTGCATTAAATTATGAAACCACCATTGATATATATATACATATAATTTACGATCTTGCTTTATCTATTATGAGTGATTGAGGTAAAAAACATTAAAGTTACTCGGTCTTTATCTTTATACTAGGACAATACGTAAATAAAATTTAACATTTTTCTTCCTGGTTCTGATAACTTTATCCCAGAAAATGACTCTTGGATATTTGATTCGGAAGAATTTTAAACCTCCTGATTAGTTTATCGAATACTTTAAATTTCCCATTTTATTTCACTGTTAAGTAATACGCTTGGCTTATTTGCTTGCTAATTCCTACTGATGAGAACTGAGCTATATTTTATTATATCATGAATCAAGCAGACTTCTCATGGATAATGTTTCCACGTTTATAATTATTAAATTCAATTTATACTCCATTAATCTCCTTCCTTACACCATGTGCATCGATCTTTATTTGCTGTTTACTTAGCAATACACTGGTGGATTGGTGTTAGCTTTGTTAGAAGGCCTTTCTTTTATCAGACATTATCTTGTATAGGGATGGTTTTTTACATTTCTTTGATAATGATTCTTATTGATATTTTTGGTAATAAGCGATTAATTTGAATATCTTTAGCATTACTTTCATAAGCCTCTAATTCCATCAATAACATTTACACATTATTTTACAAGGACACACTTTTACATGCTTTTTAAAATAGGGGCTTTCTATAGTTTCTAAACGATTAACCTCTCATTAGCTTACTTTATTCTTAATATGTAGACTCGAAACCCTGTCCTATGTAAGTACGCTTTCTTTTTCTCAGTTAAGATGTCAGTCACGAATAGCATGTAATGACTACCAAAAGTTAAGAGATGACTTATACGACAAAATGATAGGCCTCGTTTGATTGTTACTCCAGACTCCGAATAATCTTTCGACGATATCTGACTCAATATGATCGACATTAAGATGGTAAATATATGCCGTTTCGCCAAGCCATAGAATGCTTATTTTATTTTGACTATAACTTTTAGTTTCAGTTATAAATAAAGTTAATTAAATTTCATCTTTCATTCACGACTTCATTGATAGAGTATACTTCAGCTTTTACCTTATCCGATAAGCTTTTATATCGTTAGGTTTAAGATTTTTTGCACTTGTGCATAACTTGAATGTCCTTATAGTTATGTGGGTTATTATATTTTTACATCTTATGTCATAGTATTTAGTTATCCTTCCGTATTTTTTTCTTTTAAGCCTTGAAAATTTTGAAAATCGTTCATTTTCTCTTAAGAACTCTATTGGTTTACCATATGGCTCTATGTTTACGGTGTCTGGTTCAGACGTCGTTCTTCTGGACGCTTCAGATTCAATAGATAATCACGGTAAGTCAACCTTCTGAATATTATGCCCTCAGTCTCGAATTTTGATTCGAGGGACAATCGTTTCTTAGTTGATTCTTCATTCAATCAGACCCTAAAGATGGAAGAGATAGAGAAGCTCAAAAGCTCTGGTCTTTGCGGCCATGACTTGCTTGAAGCATTTGCAAAGCATAGTGCCAGTTTTGATTCAAAAACTAAGTTTTCACAGGATAAATATTTAGCTAAAAAGCGAAAGAGACATCTAATGTACTTCTCTATTCAGCCAGCGAGCTCTCGATTTCTTTGTGAAATGTATGGTAAAATCGGCAGAAACAAAGTCCTGTAAGTTTTTACTACATTCTTCAATGTCTTTACCAAATTACTTAACTTAAGGCGCACCATAACATGTTGCCTCTCACATCTACTCTGTGCCGATCCCTATTTATTGATGTTAAATAATTGAGCTCTATCTTACTATAGTGTCTTAGATAGGCATAATTTGACAATGGCCTTACTTTTCTACCATCGTATTCCTTTTTCTGCTTTTCTTTTAAAGGTTTATATTAACTCCCACCAATTAGTGGTTCGTCGATAAGCTAATTTTTCCATCTCAAAATTAATTGAATTGTTTAGTTTAGATCCTAGAATTTATTCTATATTTTGGATTAATTGCTAGTTTTTTTTCGAAGGCTATTGATTCCATTTATTAATATTCCCCTTTGGACATAACTCATCAGGGCACATCTATATCAGTTCCTTCATCACTTTCTTGCATGTTCATTGTATGTGCGAAGCAAATTTAGTAGTGGAAGATAAAGGTACAATTTAATTCTCAGCCTAACGAAAGGTTCTTCAAAAGTCTATAATCTATATAAAAAAACTCAATGTTATTTTTTGGATCAATTTAATCCAATTTGGTTGTGCTCTGGAGGGATTCGTTGATTTACCTTAAAATAAGCTAAGGAATATAGTCATTATTAAACTGAAATCTTCAGGGCATAATCCTTCCTCTGTGAAATTTTCTAAATTTTCTACTCCTTTGTGCAACATCCTGGCCACAACTTGACTAAAACATTGTCAAGAAGACTGGTCGACAAGGGACATCCTTAATGGGTAACTTAAGCATAATTTGAATTTGAGATCAGAGATAAAGACGGCTTGGCCTTCTGATTACTTTTTTTCCCGTCTTTAGACTTGTTTTGATCTCATTTGTACTAATTAGCCCTTCCTGTAAGCATAAATATAAATTAAAGTTTACATAAAATCTGAATGTAAAGCTTACTTTACTATTTCATCTTCAAGTCAGCCTCCTTTTTTCAATAATCTGGTAGACAATAAATGAAAGGCAATTTTCGTGTGATAGTTCTAGGATTATTTTTAATTCTATTCATTCTATCCATTCGTTTAAAGAAAGACTAAATTCTCCCTTCCTTCAATTAACAAAGAAGTTATTCATGTCTAACTCTTAGGTAGACGTTAGGCAGGCTCCTTGGCAGATATGTTTCTCTGGCATTTCAATATTGTTATTTTCCAATAGAGAAACCAAACGCAAGCTCTGCGTTTGCATACTGTTTATTAACACACTTGATAACTTAAGATATATGCTATTTATCTCCAAATTTACTATTTTCATAACTGACCACACAAAATCATTATCTGGTAGTGGCTCAGCCCAACTTTTTCTCACTACATCAGTTTATCTCTCGTCACCTGGCGCCAAAACCGTTTGTGATGTCATATACAGTGAATTAAGGCATATTCTGTCCGACAAACGAAGGCTTATTAACATCCCTTCCTTTCAATGTTCTTGATTCGTCGAAATTTCCTAATTCATTCTTTCAGGTTTTATGACTCAATGCTCCTTAATTTTTATATGATCTTACAAGTGAGCCCGATTTCGGGTGATGGGACACCCAGAGTAGTGAGGAAAAGTTGGGCCTAATTACTCGAATGTTCTCCCCTGTCATCACTATCAGTCTTGGGAGTTTCCGGCTTACTTTTGGAGATTTGCTTGCTCCGGAGGCTGGGTTATTTGTGTATATAAACAATACAATGAAGCCGACCAATTAATCAAGCTCACACAATAAAACGATATTACTCATATCCAAACATTAATACATACTTTAAATCGCTTTAGTTACTGGAAGGCTTTATAGCCTGATTATCCGAAGGCAAATGATTAGATGACTTCATCATGCCTCTTAATTTTAATTAGCTTTCCTCCAAAAAGCTGTGATCTAGATTTTTTATCAGTCTTATTAGCCCCTCCCTCCCCATATAAAACCAACAACCAATTCTTGTCAGGCGGCTATGCTATACTACTGCTAGACGTACTCGTTATACCCAGATGGAGCCTAAGCTATGCGACCTTAACGAGGGCGAATACATCACACTATATGGCAGTTTTTCGGTTGAAAAGGCCAAGTTAAATCTAATTAGATGGTTAATCTCTTTCAATAGCTTCGCTATAGTCCATTCAACCATCAAGTGTTTCGTTAACCAATTCAAGCATATTTATTATAGGAGATATAGTGATAATTTCTGGTATTACTCAAATTGGCCTATCTATTAATGTATCAATAATGTTAATTTAGGGCTAAACTCTTATTTTAGAATTCTTAGTGTTCCTTTGTTTGCTGAAGCTTTCTTCTTAACTTTGTGGTCTTGTTAAGTTGTGCACAGGATCTTAGATACGAAAATTAACCTTATGTAGCAGTTTTTCTTTGTTTGCACTTTGCATTACCTCGCTTTCAAAACTTTATTGTATTCACGAAAGGCTTCAAAGAGCACCTACTTTACCGCGTCCTCTGCCATTGCTTTAATTTGTTCTTACAGCATCAGACCGTTATATTGCTACGTTATCAGGCGT